TAGTAATATTCCTATAAACTAATAGTATTTGGTACACTGTGTGTATACTACATTAGTAAAAGTACAGATAAAATGTGTCAAACCTTATTCAGAGTTCCGTCAGAGGATCAAAGTCCCGCGTGCTCAGTCTCACGTGCGTTCATCCGTGCTCGCCACCTTTGAAGCTGTGGCTGTGCGCAGGTCACGTGCACAGTGTTTCCAGTGCAGGAGAAGGCCGGCTCCTCGTGCTCCTCGTGCTCCTCCTGCTCCTCCTGCTGCAGCCGCAGGAGCCAGGGTGGAGCCAGAACCAGGCCGAACCCTCAAAGAACCTCATTTCTGCTCCGTGCGCGCACTGCGAGCTGAGCCCGCTCCGCGCCGCGTGCAGGGAGGGGGCCACAACATCTGGCACACATCACAGCAGTCACAGAGCCGAGCCCGATCCTGGGGAGACCAGAGCCGCAGAATCCATGTTGGGTCTGAAGCCGTGCAGAGGGAGGAGGACCTCGCGCCAGGCCCTCTGAAGGACTCCTGGTCCACGCACCATGCAGCATCCTTTGGACGTGGGGGGGCACTACCTCCCTCCGGACCTCCAGCCGGACCACAGGACGCATCGGTACCGGAGCTTCATGATCGAAGAGATCCTGACTGACCCCCCCGAACACAAGGCGGCCGCGCCCGCAGGAGACCTGCTCAAGTTCGGAGTCCAGGCTCTGCTGGGCCGACCCTTCCACAGCCAGCTGGGTACCACTTTATTATTATTATTGTTATTATTATTATTATTATTATTATTATTATTGTTGTTGTTGTTGTTGTTGTTGTTGTTGTTGTTGTTGTTGTTGTTCCAAATGTTTTGCATTAATGATATTTTTCCTCTGAGTGAAGAACAAAAACAGATTTTTACAACAATCACAACTTTAAATTCATGTAATAAAAACTTACATGAATAAAATAAATATGATCTGGAATTATTGTTAAATGGCGATTTCTCCTTCTGCGATTCATTTTACATTTATTTAAAAAACAATATGAATGTTTAGGACAATACTTTTTATTATTATCATTATTAATATATTATTAAACCTTATTATATCATTGTTATTATTTCATATTAGAGTATTATATGTTCAAGTGCAGGTAGTAAACAAGAGTGAATGAATTTCACTGTGCACATTAAAATGTGTGTTTCCTTCTAGAAGGTGGAACAAGTTTCTTCAGACGGTCCGTTCAAATGAAAGAACTCGGTCATTCTGTCGTAATTAAAGGGATTTCAATAAAGTTTCTTTAAATGTCCGGAGTCTGTTGAGTCTGAAGGTGAAACTGATGAAGATGAACATTTATTAAATTCATATCAGTTTTTGCCCTCGGCTCTCAATTTGTCTCCAAATCAGACGTTGCATGTCCATCACATCTGAAGACCCTCACACTTTGATTCATTATCTACCCTTTCATTAATGCAGTTCATTAGAACACACACACACACACACACACACACACACGTGCGCGCGCGTCATACAGAGGCTCTTACTTTGTATTTCCTGCTCATGGACACATTCCTGGTGTTGTGAAGCTGCAGGAAGTTAAAAACTCATTTTGGACACAGTGTTTTATTTCAAATTAATGTTCTTACATCAGACTGGTCAGATAAATGTATTAACTCTATTATTATTATTATTATTAAATACAGTATATTATTATTATTATTATTATATACAGTAAATGATTATATTATTATTAAATATAGTATATTATTGTTGTTATATCGAGTAGATTATTATATGAATTTGATTAAATATATCCTGATGCATGCTCAATAAGTTTTAATTGATAAATATAATAATTGAAAATAATTTTTTAAAATTTTTTTTGAATGTCCAGAGGACCAGATTGAACTTTTTTGGATTGATTAAATATAGTATATTATTATTTCATTCATTTAACCTTTATTTAAACTTGTCAGTATCATGAGGACTCATAACAAGACCTGTTTTACACAGACAACAACAATTCAACAAAAAGCAATTAAAATCAAATGAAAGAAGTTATAAACACATTATTTTAAAATACAGTGTATTATTATTATTAACTATGTTGTATTATTAATAAACACAGTATATTGTTATTATTAAATACAGTGAATTATTATTAAATACAGCGTATTATTATAATTATTATTATTAAATACAGCGTATTATTATTATTATTATTATTAAATACAGCATATTATTAAATACAGCATATTATTAAATACAGTGTATTATTATTATTATTATTAAATACAGTGTATTATTATTATTATTATTATTATTAACTACAGTGTATTATTATTATTATTATTAAATACAGTGTATTATTATTATTATTATTATTAACTACAGTGTATTATTATTATTATTATTAAATACAGTGTATTATTATTATTATTATTAAATACAGCATATTATTATTATTATTATTATTAAATACAGCATATTATTAAATACAGTGTATTATTATTATTATTATTAAATACAGTGTATTATTATTATTATTATTATTAACTACAGTGTATTGTTATTATTATTATTAAATACAGCGTATTATTATTATTATTAAATACAGCATATTATTAAATACAGTGTATTATTATTATTATTATTAAATACAGTGTATTATTATTATTATTA